TTTTTTTTTGTGGACTCCCAAACGATTATCTTAAACAAAACTCATGTGAGAGTTTTAATTTGCCAAGAAAAGGAGCCTAGGAACCTGGATCTGTCATCCTCACCCTTTGCTGGGACCCACGACACTGCATCGCGGAGAGTGAGGGGCTAAGACCATTGCCTGCCCTTGACCTGGGTGGCTCTTGGCCCACGTGGAGATGGTATCCAGTTAGTTATTGACTGCAGACAAGCAGAAATCCCCCCCTTATGTTCTTGCTGTGTGCTGTGCTTGTTTGGATGAGTCCACGACATGCCGAATAAGAGACGAGATGGGCCGGGGCGATGAGAGTGACCGTATTGTGATCAACGTGGGTGGGACTAGGCATCAGACGTACCGCAGCACCTTGCGCACCTTGCCGGGCACTCGGCTGGCCTGGATCGCCGAGCCGGATGCCCACAGTCACTTTGACTATGACCCCCGCACAGACGAGTTCTTCTTTGACCGGCACCCGGGAGTCTTTGCTCATATCTTGAACTACTACCGCACAGGAAAGCTGCACTGTCCAGCAGATGTATGTGGACCTCTGTATGAGGAGGAGTTGGCCTTCTGGGGCATTGACGAAACGGATGTGGAGCCCTGTTGTTGGATGACCTATCGGCAGCACCGGGATGCTGAGGAGGCCCTTGACAGTTTTGGAGGGGCACCTCTGGATTGCAGCGCTGAAGATGGAGACGCCGATGGCACCGGGGACTCGGGCGATGGTGAGGAGGAGCTGGAGATGACTAAACGCCTGGCACTTAGTGATTCTCCAGATGGAAGGCCTGGGGGATTCTGGAAGAGGTGGCAGCCCCGTATCTGGGCCCTTTTTGAGGATCCCTATTCCTCCAGATATGCAAGGGTAAGCTGTGCCATCTATCAGCACTCCTAATACTTTTATCTGCACCCAACTCCAGGAAGGTTCTTACAACCCAGAGCTTCTTTCTAGTCCCATTGATGTTTCCATTTCATGCCTTGCGTGCTCTCGTATGGGATCCTGCACTTAAGAGCCATGAGGGAGGCATGCGTCTTTTGTGGCAGGCATCACATGGGGCCAGGATATGGGAGCGAGGGCAGATGCCAGGGCATGAACACTTTCGCCCCACAAGGAGACCAGAAAAATGGAGCGAGAAGTGAATATCTCATTCCATTTCAGTT